CTATCTGTACTAGTGTACATCCTCTGGTCTAACTAGACTTGCAAGGTAGAATTGGGATCATGATAGTGAAGGGCAGAGGAAGCATTTAGGAACTAGAGGAAAGTTGTATTTTTCATCGTTGCTATATCGCACCCTGTCTGGCTCGTCTCCTCCCTGAGACCCCTCTGCAAAGGGATCTCCAGTATTTCAAACATTATATGAGATGTGTAAAATGTCATGGATTCAGAAAATTTCTAATTCTGTACATCTAAAATTTCCAAATTTTTTTTCTCTTATTGATGTGGTTGGTCTTGAGAACAAAAAAAAAACCCACTTTGATTTGGAATTTGACATGGGAAATCAATTGGATAACATTTTCAATGGCTCTTTTGTAAGCCTTAATTTCTTTATCTATGAAATGGAGGATAATTTTTCATTTATGTGGGTCTGCGAAGATTAAATAATCAAATATAAAATGCCTGACATAATACTTTACAGTTAGTAACCTCTCACCTTGGTGCTGTTTCTACTGTCTCTAAAGCATTAAATACAAAAATTTTCACAGACAATTAAAGCTTATATGCTGCTTATCCAATAAAATGCTTTGAAGGCAGGGAATAGTTGTTTTTTGAATTTACATGAAAAGTAGTTGAGGAATTCCTCTGTCATCTGGGCACTAGACAGAGGAGCATTCAGTATGGGGTCCTCTCTGACACTAGACAGTCTCTTCCTTTACAAAACTCAGATCTTTTGACTTTCTATTAGCCAACTATATTTGTAGTTAAGTTTTTAGTGTTACTATAATTGCCTCTTTTCCTTTCCTTTTTCCTGCCACGTTTTCTTGCTACTTCAGAGGTGGTAATTCACATTCTAATTTCCCTTAAATGTCTTGGAGAAGTTATTAAATTAATAATTGGTGAGTTGTCACCCACAGGTTTGGGAACTTTAAGTAATTCAGAAATGAAAATTGAGCAGGTTTTTAGTTGAGTAATTAAAAAATGCCTGTAGAAAGACATGTTAAATCTGTGAAGAAAATATTACACCATTGAAAACAAACATTACCAGCAGTAGTTATATTGAAGCCTTTTTTTTCCTTAAATAATTGTAGGATTAAAAGCTGCAGAGGTCTCATCACTCCCACCATCAATTGTCTTGGATGCCAGGGAAATCACAGCTCAAATTACCAGACAGATTTTGGTAAGAAACTTAATTTTATTTACTTACTTTCAATCAATTGTTTTTCAAGCAAAATTGCAAATAAACCTATACCCCAATGTGCATTACAGAACTATTTACAATAGTTAAAAGGTGAGAATAATCCAAGTGGGAGGGGGATGGAGTTCAGAGGAATAATCCTTTTTTCTTTTTAAATACTTGAATTTGAGGCTCTTAAATCTCTTACCATGATCCATACATTCATCCAGTGTATCAAGCACATTTGCACATATGCTACCATCATAGTTTTCAAAGCATTCTCTTCCCACTTGAGCCCCTGATATCAGCAACACATTTCTTCCCCTCCTGCCCACTTTCCTTCACGAACACTTGATAAGTTATAGATTATTATTTCCATATCTTACATCATCCTCTGTTACCCCTCACCCACTTTTCCGTTATTCGTCCCCCTGGGAGGGGGTTCTGGGTTGATCCTTGTAATCGATTTCCCCTTTCTTCCCCCACCACCCCCTAATCCTCCAGGTATCCTTATACTCTCATTGTTGGCCCCAAGGAGTTAATCTATCCTGAATTCCCTGTGCTGCGGGGCTCTTATCTGTAGCAGTGTGTATGCTCTGGTCTAATCTGATTTGTAAGGTAGAAATGAGGTCATGATAGTGGGGTGAAAGAAGCACCAAAGAACTAGAGGAAAGTTGTGTGTTTCATCGGTGCTATACTGCACCCTGACTGACTCATCTCTTCCCTGTGATCCTCTGTGAGGGGTTATCCAATTGTCTACTATATTAGACAGGGTTCTCTAGAGAAACAAAACTAGGACACTAATAATTTTATATATATTTATAGATAGATAGATAACATAAGAAATAAGTTAATTAATCTATAAAGCAGTACAAATGGCTCAGTGCAACTCACTTCCGTGAGGCAGCTAATACACTGGTAGTCCTTTGTAGAGCAATTTAGGCTATTCGGCCAAAGGCAGCAAACAGCAAGGCAGGTCACTAACAGCCAGATGACAGGGTCTGACAGTCCCCAGCTCAAGAGATTTATATTTCAGTAGCATGGCAAAGCAGGTCTTGATGGAACCTCAAATTACAGCGACACAGTCCACAGCTTAGGTGTCCCACAGGTAGTGTAGCTTACAAATTGAGGCACAGAACAAGCAAGGCAGCTGCACACTGGTCCGATCATCAAAGAGCAAGAGACAAGAAAGACAAGGCTCGCCGAGCCATTTTTCTCTCTCTGCCTGAGTTAGTTAATTGTGCCAACCTGGCCAATAATCACATGTGGGGCTAATTGAAAGGCGGAGGGATAAATGGGTTGTGAGCCTCGTCTTTCTAGTTCTCCGGTCTCTTGCTTTGTGATGATCGCACCAGGGTGCAGCTGCCTTAGCAGTTCCCTGCTTCAGCTTGCAAGATTGACTTCCTACAAGACATCCCCAAGGAGAAGCCACATGGACCTATCCCGATGCAGCCCTGGGTGCTGGAGCAGCCGTGTAGAGACCCCTGCTAGTGCTGAGATGCTTATTCGTTCCCTGACTCAGCTTTCCTCCTGCAGTCGGCATCATTGCCTCTGTTTTGTGAGGTGGAGGACTTTGTGGACTTGTGTTGGGTTAATGGGTTAATGTTGGACTTGTGGGCTTGTGCAGCATTGGGTTCAGATGTTTTTGTGATGCACACTTTCTTTTTTTTCCTTTTTTCTTTTTTAACATTTTATTAGGGGCTCATACAACTGTTATCCCAATCCATATACACATCAATTGTGTAAAGCGCATTTGTACATCATTTCTCAAAATATTTTCTCTCCATTTAAACCCCCGACATTAGGTCCTCATGATGCACACTTTCTTTACATAAAACTCTCTTATACATGAGTTGCTGTGGATTTGTTTCTCTAAAGTACCTAGACTAATACACTGCCTTTAAATTAAACCCACATGTGTTCATTGGCCATGTTGTCACAATAAACCTATCTACATATGGGCATTGGGTCTCCACTCCATGCACCCACCCCGCCCATTTACATTGGGTTTGATTTTATTCTGGGTCTTGATGCTGATACCCGATCCCATCGACACCTCATTATCACACAGGCTGGTGTGCTTCTTCCATGTGGGCTTTGTTGCTTCTGAGCTACAGAGGGAGAATCTTGATAGAGTTTCTTGAAGGACACAAGGAGGTCATGGAGGCTTGTTATGAAGAAGCTATAAGAAAATTGAAAACTGATTTGGTGAGAAAAAGGCCAGGAATGTAATGCCAAGAAATTCCGGCCCCGCCCCCACCACATGCCAGTGCACCTGCTCATTCTTTGAGCATAGCAACAGCTATACTAAGAGAATATCACTGGGAGTTCTTACCCATTTACTTGGAGATTTCCAGTTCAGGTTTATTTTTATTCCCCAAATTCAAAGAACGTTTCAGAGGAAAACAGTTTGAGTTCTTCCCTGATGCCAAAATGCTATTTTGAAGAGATATAAATAGAAAATGTGGAATTCTCCAGGGAAGTATTAGGTAAAAGCACTGCCTTCAGAAGTGTGTTGATTTACATGGAGAATATGTTGAGAAATAATAGCTTCACATTTTAATATTTTTGTTAAATACAAGTTTCTATGACCTTGCCGCAATATTTTTTCCACTTACCCTGATACTTGCCTCATCTGTTTCTCACTTGTAAACTGGAGCTTAACGTGCTTTTGAAACAAGTTTCTAATATACCAAATGAACAAAATCTGGTTGTTTTCATTTTCACTGGCCTCTCTGTGCCGCTTGATGCAATTCTTCTTTCCTTTCTTTTATTTTAACTACTGGGGCATTGTTCTTTCATAGATGTGTTCATTTTCCTACCTCTTTATCTTTTCCTTTTTTCACCATTAAAAAAAATCATTTTATTGGGGGCTCCTACAGCTCTTATAACATTTCATGCATCAGTTGTATTAAGCATATTTGTATATATTTTGCCGTCATCATTTCCAAAACGTTTCTACTTGAACCCTTGGTATCTTCACCATTTTCATTCCACTTATTAAATGGAAGTGTTCTTTAGATTCTGGCCATGTTCCTCATGTTTAATCTGTACTCTTGGGTCTCTCATCCTTTTCCCATTGTCCATTATCATTATCTTACACTCTGAATCTGTATATTTTTCTCCTGATCTCTTAACCTATGTTTTTCACTCTTCAGTACTTCCAAAATTAAATTTATCATCTTCTTAAATATCTCACCTCTTCACTTTCAGGTCTCAGCCCCCCAGCAGAATAAATGTTGCGTCTTTTCTCATAACATTGTCTCATTTGGATGATGCAAAAAGCTCTCTCTTTTCCAATCCACCCTCCACACTGCTATTAGGTTGTCTCCCAAGGCATACGTTTTATGCATTCATTTCTTACCAAATACAAATTCAACTCTAACTTAGTGTTAAAGATATTCTATGATTATCACTCAAACTATATAGTCTAAGGATTATTTCCATTAGAATCACCTCAAATTCTAGATACCACCTCAGTTTTTCAACAGTCTTGTGTGGCTCAGATCTTCGTTTTTATGAATCTTTAATATAATTTTTTTACACACTAGAATTTGTTAACTGTTATTCTGTGGTCTTTTAAAAAAATCATTTTATTAGGAGCTCTACAACTCTTACCACAATCCATACATACATCAATTGTGTAAGGCACATTTGTACATTCATTGCCCTCATCATTCTCAACACATTTGCTCTTCACTTAAGCCCCTGGCATCAGATCCTCATTTTTCCCCTCCCTCCCCACTCCCCTCTCCCTTATGAACCCTTGATAATTTATAAATTATTATTTTGTCATATCTTGCACTGTCCAACGTCTCCTTTCACCCACTTTTCTGTTGTCTATCCCCCAGGGAGGAGGTTATATGTAGATCCTTGTAATTGGTTCCCCCTTTCTACCCCACCCTCCCTCCACCGTCCTGGTATTGCCACTCTCGGCACTGGTCCTGTAGGGATTCCCTGTGTTTCCATTTCCTATCTGTACCAGTGTACATCCTCTGGTCTAGCCAGATTTGTAAGGTAGAATTAGGATCATGATGGTTGGGAGGAAGCATTTAGGAACTAGAGGAAAGTTGTATGTTTCGTCATTGCTACACTGCACTCTGACAGGCTCGTCTCCTCCCCGTGATCTATGGTCTTCTTTGTTGACTGTCTCAACCTTACATCACACTACTTAACTTCACATAGCCTACATTTCTGCCACACTGATTATAATTTCTTCATTATGACCTGAATATGTTCCATGTTCTCTCACGTGCCTTGTGAAGTTTTTGCCTCCAACCAGAATACTCTTCCTTTGGCTCTTTTATCCATTAAGATTTTGCTAAAATGCTATATCCAGCCGTTCTTGATCTGAGCTGAAATTGATTTTATATTTTGTATCAATTTTTTTGATGATTTGATAGTTTGACCTGTATTTATTTATTTATTTTTATCATTTTATTGGGGTTCATACAACTCTTATCACAATCCATACATATACATCCACTGTGTCAAGCACATTTGTACGTTTGTTGCCACTGTCATTCTCAAAACATTTTCTTTCTACTTGAGCCCTTTGTATCAGCTTCTCATTTTCCCCCCTCCTTCCGCCCTTCTTCCCTCACTAACCCTTGATAATTTAGAACTTATTCTTTTTCATGTCTTACACCCTCCGATGTCTCCATTCACCCTCAATTTTCTATTGTCCTTCTCCCAAGGAGTGGGTTATATGTAGATCATTGTGATTGGTTCCTCCTTTCTTCCCCTTCCCCTCCTGATATTGCTACTCTCATTATTGGTCCTGAGGAGTCTATCTGTCCTGGATTCCCTGTGTCTCCAGCTCTTATCTGTACCAGCATATATCCTCTGGTCTAGCCAGATTTGTAAGGGAGCATTGGGATCACCAATAAACATACAACTTTTCTCTAGCTCTAATGCTTCCTCCCCCACCCCCCACTATCATGATCCCAATTTTGTATCTTTCTTATGACACGTTTTCATAATTACCAAAATTAGTTTCTTTTGGATACATGCCTTTTCCACTGTAAATCTGTATGCATCTTGAGTTTTGCTATCATGTCAGTTATACATTTTCTTCACCCATAAGTACATATGTGGTAAGAGGCTTGGAATATTAATTATAGTGCATGTTCAGTAACTTTGATGGGTGAATACACGATAAATGCCCTCCATCTCATAGAATTGTACTAATTTTTCCAATAGTAAAAGTAGAAATATATAGGTATTTCTTCCTATTTAGAAAGAGTTGAAAGGACTGTATTTCTGAGAAACTCACAAAGACGTTCCATAAACATAAGATAGAATATTCTGTGATTCTGCTAGGTAGCTCAGTTTAAGAGGTAAGTTCAGAATTTTCCAATTACTTCTAGCCCAGAAGGTCTAATTGTCTGAGGGCCTTTCAAACTATTAGGAGACTGTGCTTTTAAAGATTTCTTGAGTAGTCTTAAGTATAACTTGTTAAGAATTAAGGCACAATTTCAAATAGCTATGGGTTGAAATCAACTTGATGGCAATGCGTTCTGTGTTATTTTCTTTGGTGTTGTTTCTTTTAAAAATGTAATTTACTCCTCAAGCAGTACTTTTCACTGCCACTTCAGCAATTTCTATATCTGAACTCTTTAGGCAGCAGTTTATTGATGACCCATTCTGCCCACCACTTTTTTTTATCTATTGGGGAACTGAAATAGGAGATAACAGAATATTACTTCTGGGTGATATTTGAAAATATGACCTACAGAGCAATTTGATCAGTTCTATTTTCTCATACCCTTTTAATGAGAAAGAGTTTGTAGTACATATCTCTGGTGGATTTTCCATTACTCTTTGGTATTATGCTGAGAATTTTACCAGAGAGGATTTTTTTTCACTGAAAAAAGTTAATTTTAAGGATACAAAGACCTGTTACAAAGTAGTAAATACACATGAGGAATTTCATTCTTAAAAATGAGATTTTTCTATGAATTTTTGAAGATGTCTGGTATGTTTTATTTCTTTTGATATATTCATAGATGAGATTAATTTATCCAAAGGAGTTCGTTAACTTTTGAGTTCTATAATTCTATGGACAGGATTAAACATCACCAAAAAAGGATTTACATGAATATTCATATTTTAATTTTGACCTATTTTTTAATAACAGCAAAACCAAAAGAGTACTCCTGAAATGGAAAGACAGAGGGCTGTGTACCATCTAGCCACAAGGCTTGTTCAAACTGCTCGAAATTCTCAATTGGATCCAGACAGTTTACGAACATATTTATGTAATCTTAAGAAGAAATATGAAGCAGATTTGTCCAGGACTGAGCAAGTTCCAGAAAAGACTGAAGAATAATAATTTCATCTTGTACTAATAAAATAATTTACCTTGGCAGGAGAAACCTAGAAATAATTTTTCCCTAAAAGAAAAATAAAATAATGGTATTTTCTAAATTTTATATTGTAATTGGAAATTGCATTTTATATACCTTAAATATAAATTATATGCTTCTTGAGAAAATACTATCACAACAAATGAGAAATATATGAAAAAATGTATATTTTTTCATTTTAGAAAAGTATAATGTATTACTACTTGTTCTTTCATCTGTGAACATTTACATTAAATCTTAAATTGTTTATATTTATGAATAGTGGTTTAGAATGTTATTATAAATTCCTTGGCTTAAGAGAGCCTTTTTAAAAATCTTAGTTTCTTTATATTTTATTTTCAAGTAATACAGTACTACTCTATAACAGTAATTTCTTAATTATTCACCCTCTGTAATTGATTCGATGACTACTCACAGCGCCCCTAGAGGACAGAGTAGAGTGGCCCTATGTGTTTCTGAGATTCAGTCTATGGAAGTAGAAAGCCTCACCTTTCTCCTACCCGGTGGTGTGGAATTGCTGACCTTGACGTTAGCATCCCAGCATGTAACCACTGCATGCCAGGGTTCTATTAATTAGATATTTCTGCACTTTGTAAGAATAATAGTGAGAGTTTTGAAATATTCATTTTAGTATTAAGTATACTTCCAAAATAGACATGTAGACCGTTTTTAATACAGAGAAAAAGAGGGAGTCATCATCAAAAGCACTCTCAGGATTCTAAATATGTAGGAGTTCCATTTTCTACTCACTGATCTCCTCCTTTTTCTCACTTTCCAGTTTGGGGTGGCTTTATTAGGTGGCTAACCAAGGCAGTGTGAAGGTAATATTGATTTGTTTATTTGCCTCAGTTGTTGGTTCACAAAGGACCATTTTAGAGAAGTGTTTTTCTACAATCATGTCGCTTATAACTCAATTTCAGAGTTTACCCAAAGGTCATACTTGTTTTGTAAATGGGCAACAGAAAATGGAATACCATCAGTTGTTCAGCAACTGGAAAGCGTATTTTCTTCTCAAACACATTACTTTCACAATTCCATCACAGTAGATGATTTAGTCACATAATCTCAGCCCAAAGGCCAAGAATAGGGAAATTATTCTTTTCTTGGGCAACTAAATGTCTGGGATTCAGAGCATACACTTGAACCAGTTATTCAACAAGCTTCAGCTGTTAATATAATTGTACCAATTTTTTCCATAGACTAGTTAATGCTGTATTTTTGTTGATATTTGCTTATTATGCTTTAAAACATTTAAAATTAATATTTTTGATTTCATTAAACTCATCAGCATTTGAAGTTAATATTACTAGCTGGGTATATTTTAGAAGTTTTAACTTTAATGACATATACATACTTCTTTGCATAATTGTGATTTGGTATTTATAGTTGGTATATATGAAATATAAGACAACTTTTATTTCCTATTAAGTTTAGAGAATGTCAAAACATTTGAATCATTTACCATTTTTGGTTCAGTCTTTGAAATGAATTATGTTTTGGGTGGCTTTAATAGGTGGGTAACAAGGCAGTGTATAGGTAATATGTGCTCATTTTCATTTCTAAAAACAATTACCATGTTTTTTTGCAATTAGCATGCCCACACTATTACCATACACACATCTATAACAGGCAGAAATCACAAAATAGAGCATGCATGTCTTGTGACATTTTAAAAAGTGAATTTTGGCCCCATTCACCCTCATTCAATAGTCTACAAATGTTACTTTTGATCGTAATTATAAAGGTATAAACCATGGTCAAGAAGTCCTGCATCCGGTTTGGCTGTCCTGTGTGATGGAAAAATCATCTAAGCGCATGTGACTGCTCCGGAGCAGTTCGCCAGCGTAGGGGCTTGACAGTGGTGGTGTACCTTGCAGCAGATCGGTATGTTATGTCACAGAGGGGCAGTGGGTGGGCAGCAGGGCTCTATGCGGATTGTCACAGCCTGAGCACAGCAGCCTAGTTAAGGCATCATGCGTGCCCTGTGAAGCCTGGCAACGGGATGGTGTGGGTGAGATGAAGTACCCCAGCTCTGCCTGGCAGCCGTGCTGGACACATACGTTTCGTCTGAGTAAGGGACTAAAACACCTCTTGCTAGGGGTCATTCAATTTGAGTCTGTACCAGCCAGAGATTCAAAAGACCAAGCATCAGGCCCCCACCCCCCCACCCCCAGCTGCAGCGTGTTATTCTTGCCTGTCTGAATAGGCTCTCTGACCTGGGATGTGTAAACCCACACAGCTCCTAGGCTGAGACCAGCTTTCAGGAGGGCCATTTCTACTACGAACAAGCAGTCACTTCATTGGAGAAAGAGGTTACTTTCTGCACTGGAGAAAGGGGTTTGCTGGGCAGGGAAGGACTCCTGCTGGGAGAGGGGCTGCCTGCCCAAGGGACTCAAAGGTAGGCTAGTGAACGTCTGTTACTGGGAGCCAACAAGATGAAGTCTTAATATTAAATATATTGTACAGAAAAAAGAAAAGTTTGAAGCCATCAACGTGTAAAAAATATTGGTATAGAATACTTAATGAAATTAATTCAAGGGGTGGTCTACTATACAAAAACACATACATGTGTATTATGTGTGTAAATGTTTGGTAGATAACTTAAGACTTTTGGCAAATTTCTAGAAAGCTCCGAGGAGGAAAAGGGTCTGGCAAATTGTGTAGGACGGCAGGAAAGAAAATGTTGGCAGCAATAACAAGAAGTGGGCAGACTGGGGGAGAAACACAAGCAAGAAGAGCTAGGTGCGAAGGATGAAATACACTGAGCATTACTTCCTTAAATATATTAACTTTTTAGATTAACTCCAATGTTAGAGTCTATCAAAATTTTAAGAGTTTTTTCATTAGAATGTTTGATACAAAAGTTCAAGCTAACAGAGTACTACTTTTTAATGTACAATCGAAATAAAGAAATAAAAATATGCTTGTATCTGCTCAAAATTTAATTACCTTTTCTTAAATAAAGCTACATATATTAGAAACATGAAAATATGAAAAAGCAAATCAAACCAACATATAACTTATCTCATGGTACAGAAGAACAGAAGTAAAGATGAGGTTAAGTAAAAAAAAAGTATTGCTATAAAATCATAGAAAACCTTATTAAACTAAACTGAAAACCCAAACAAACAAACTCATTGCCATTAATTCAATTCTGTCTCATAGCAACCTTAAGGCTGCAAAACTGTCCCTGTGAGTTTCCAAAACTGGCAGTCTTTATGTGAGTAGAAAGTCCCATCGTTCTGGTGAGGAGTGACTGGAGAATTTAAATCCATCTTGTGGTTAGCCCCACAAAGCATAACCCACTTCACTACCAGGGTTCCAATTGCAAAATATGCAGCCATTGTTTCTTGACACATCTTCCATCTATGTCCACATTCTTCTGAAGGCAGCATCGCCTTCTCTCTAACACTTCCCTGAAGAATTCTGTGCTCTTCCATTTACAGCAGAGCACAACATTAGCTTTGCCACTCTGGAAGGACTCAAATCGTGTTCCTTTTAAATGTTATTTGATTGGAGGACAAAAGAAGCCTGAGGGGGATAGATCACGGTGGATGAGGTAAGGTAGGACAGCCTGAAAGCATAAGCAGGTGCATTGTGATGGAGGGGTGGGGAGGGCAGGAGGGGGGAGCGGTGGGCTGGGGATCCCTTGACATAACTTTCCTGGTCTTTTTCTCATCAGTATAGTTTCAATTTTCTGTAAACTTCTTCCTAATAAGTCTCTGTGATTGTCCTGGGTCCTTATTATCATCACCTGGGAATAATAAGTTTCCGTAAATTTCTGAGCTGACCTCTCTGCTTTGAATTGAACTGCTACAGTAGATTCCTTCACAAGCCATCATTTCAGCAGTACTCTAATAATACTTCAGACAAGTGTGCTATGGAGAGAACTTGTCTGCAGTCAGCCACTTACCCAGAGACATGGTTAAGCACTTCAAAAAACCCAAATGTATGAACTAGCACGTACTAGCAATACTGTCTGACTTACTGTGATATTGGTTAAGATGTGCTCTGTGACTTAGTTCCTCTTAGGATAAAATTCGACCTAAGGCAATATTTTTCTTCGGGTCCAGGGGAGGGGTGTAAGGATGAGGGATACGTTTATTATGAAATTTACATACAGTACTATTTTAGTAAAAACTCCCCCACATCCCTTAAAACACAGCTAGCACCTGTTTTTGTTTCCTATAATTTTATTTTTTGAGAATGTCAAACAAATGAAATCATATAATGTATAACCTTCTGAGATTGGCTTCTTTCACTCAATATTTGAGTCTTTTAAATGATCACTTGTATTCCATTATTACAATGTAGCACGGTTTATTTATCAACTACATCATTGAATATTTGGGCTTTTAGTTTTTGTTTTTTTTAAGTATTAATTAAACTACTGTAAACTACTGTGGACATTTTTATACATATTTTCATGTGAAAATAAGGTTTCATTTATGCATATTAAATAGAAATGACATGGCTAAGTCATTTGTTACGTATCTATTTTATATTTAAAAAAAATCTTCCAAATGTTTTCCCAAAGTTGCTGTGCCATTTTGCATTCATACCACCCGTGTATGAGAATTCAAATTATATCACATCTTTGTTAGCATTTGGTATTGTAATTTTTTAAAGCCATTGTGGTAGGTATATAGTGAATAATACAGTTCTAATAGTATTTTGCCAAGTAGTGATGTTTTATTTATCTTTTTTCCTAAATTATTTTTAGCTTCTTTAACCTACTTTCTTTGATAGTACATTTGAAAATAAACCCTCTAGCCAACATTTTAAAATACATTTTTTAAAACTTTTGCTACAAAGCAAATGTAATTCAATAAATATTTACTGAATTTCTCTACTATTTCCCAGCGACACACTAGTTGGTGGGAGTACAAAAGGAAAAAATTTGATTTTGAGGACTGCAGGTGTAGCAGAGAGAAAAGATGATATATATTAAGGTTGGAGCACCTTGGGTTGTGCACAACAGAGGAATGGTAAGAAAGATAGTGAGAAAAATGTTCAATTCTTTGTGGGCCAAAGAGAGTTTGAAGGGTAAAATATGTCAGGTGTTCAGGAAAGAAAAAGCATTTTATAGAGACTGAGCTGCATATGCGTAAGCACAGAGATGTGAAAGTGTGCAGTTTGGGTTGATAAGAGTGTGTCTGAGAGGGCTTTGTTGAGTCTGTTAATATGGAAGCGAATGGACACTCTTATATGAATTGGCAAAATTCAGATAGTCTCCAGATGGCAAGTGGACAGTGGAAATGGCTACCATGTGCCATAATCTACTAAGATGGACCTTAAATCTTTGCTGCATGTGGGAGATAAGCTTATGTGCAAAAAGTTCCAAATTAGCGTGGTGGCTTGCTACAGTTTTCTGTTCAAGACAAAGGATTCTTGGGTCAGGACTTATGTCAATATTGTTTGTGTCAACCTCAACTCTCAAAGGGGTGACATGCAATGGCCCAGGTAGATGCCCAGGGACCTGTGTCACAGCAGAAGAACCTGAGTTTAGTGAGCACTAATCTTTTATAGTGAATGTTTTAAGAAAACCTGCTTTCCCCATTTGTAGGCCACTGGAGATCCCCTTGCAGAGGGGTCTCAGGGAGGAGACGAGCCAGACAGGGTGCGATGTAGCAACGATGAAAAATACAACTTTCCTTTAGTTCCTAAATGCTTCCTCCTCCCCCCCTTCCCATTATCATGATTCGAATTCTATCTTGCAAGTCTGGCTAGACCAGAGGATGTACAGATAGGAACTGGAAACACAGGGAATCCAGGGTCGATGATCCCTTCAGGACTAGTGGTGTGAGTGGCGATACTGGGAGTGTAGAGGGAGAGTGGATTGGAAAGAGGGAACCGATTATGAGGATCTATATGTGACCTCCTCCCTGGGGGACGGACAACAGAAAAGTGGGTGAAGGGAGATGTCGGACAGGGCAAGATATGACAAAATAATAATTTATAAATTATCAAGGGCTCATGAGGGAGGGGGGAGCAGGGAGGGAGGGGAAAAATGAGGACTTGGTGATGGGGGCTTAAGTGGAGAGGAAATGTTTTGAGAATGACGAGGGCAATGAATGTACAAATGTGCTTTATACAATTGATGTATGTATGGATTGTGATAAAAGTTGTATGAGCCCCTAATAAAATGATTAAAAAAAAATTTTAACTCTCAGAAACACAAAGGGGACAATTCTGCTCTGCTTTGTATGGTTGCTATGAATTAAAATCAATTTGATAGCAAAAAAAAAAGAAAACCTGTTTTCACAAATATATCAATAGAAATGATAGGGTAGGAGTAGAGACCCAAAGCCTATCTGTAGATAATTGGACTTTCCCTCTCAGAAGGGTCTCAAGGAAAGACTGAGACAACCAGGGTGCAGCAAACCACGGACGGAACACACAACATTCCTCTAGTTCTTTAATACTCTGTCCTCCCTTCCCACTATCATGACCCCAGTTCTACATTACAAATCTAGACTGGAGCATGTAATCTGATACAGACATGAATTCTCAACGCATGGAATCCAGGGCAGATAAACCCCTCAGGAACAGCAGTGGGAGTGGCAATCCCATAAGGGTAGGGGAAAGACGGTGGAGGCGGGGAGAAGGGGGAGAAATGGGGAACTGACTACAATGACATATAACTCCCCTCCCTCCCCAGGGGGACAAACAGTAACGCGGACAAAAGGAGACAGCGGGTGGTGTAAGATATGAAAATAATAATTATTTATAATTTATCAGGTCCATGAGGGTGGGAGAGGGAGGAAGAAAAAGAGCAGATACCAAGGGCTTAAATAGAAAAATATTTTGAAATTAATGATGGCAACATATGTGCTTGATACAATTGATGTATGGATTGTTATAAGAGATGTAAGAGCCCCCAATAAAATGATTCATAAAAAAGAGAGAGAAACAAAAAAAAAAAAAGAAAAGCTGCTTTCACCTTTGCCCCAGACAGACAGATAGTAAGCAAACCTGTGCTCTGTTCCAGGAGGAGACACTATTCTCTCCCGTCTGCTTACCAGACAAGCACACTTGAATAGCTAGTCCACAATAAAAGGCAGCTGGTGCCTCCGTTCATAGATGTGTGGAAATGTGTGAGACCAATGGAGAATTCTCTCAGTGCTCATCTCTGTGTTAAAACAGTTGTGTTGCATAATTATGCACAATTATGGAGAGAAGTATCTTGTACTCTAGATAATCAAAAGTAAAAAAAGTAAAAAAAAAAGACTTTGAAAACTGTTTTTTTAAGATTGTTTATTTGTAGCCAAAGAACATGTAGACTTTAACTGATAACATTTTAAATTTGATGTCATTTTGGATCAAAATATTTTTTATTTCCTGTATCAAGATGACCGCAATTTGTTCCACATATAGAAAAGTGATGGGTAGAGCCATTATTGATCAAAGTTATTTATTAAAAGGTTTATTCATTTAGGGTTTCAAGGCTTCGGGGGGCTCAGGATCTTAGTCTTTGGGGGAGACCAAGGTGAACTAGCATAACATCATCCAAAACGACATGGTTCACCATCTTTCTTTGGGGAGTAGCCACTGGAGTATTAGTAGCACGGAGCAGTCATCTGAGGTGCACCTATTGATCTCTTCCTGTCTGGAGGAAAGAAAAGTGATGACAATCTGAGACACATGGAAGTAACTACATGCAAACGTGTTTCCACAACCCTGAGACAAGAAGAACTAGATGGTGTTTGGCTGTCACTACTAACGGCTCCGAAAAGGATCACATTAGAAGGTTCCAGAAAGAGTCAAAGGAAAAGAGGGAACACAACTCAAAATCATAAGAGACCAAACTTACGGTCAGAGAGAGACTTGTGAAACCCCTGAGACTATGGTCCGTAGTCACTCTTAAGACTTTTTCTTTCTCTTTTTTTTGGTACTCTTAAAAAAATTATTATTAGTTGATATTTAATGCATATATCATTCAAAATTTCAATCACATCAAGGTGAATGTACAGTTGCTACCACAATCAGTTTCCAAACATGCCCTTACTACATGGACCCCTTGACATCATCTCCCTTTTATCCCACCTCCACCACTGTACCCCACCTTCCCCCAACCCTTCAGATCTTGTGCTTAGATTTTATGTCAACTGGCTACATCCCGGTGAAGGCAGGAGTGGAGCCCAACCTGTCACTCATGTTGCAGCCCATTGACATCTCCTTGGGAGTGTGGCTTTTATTAGGGAGCCCATGAGCAGAACCACGCTCTCTCTTGTTTTGTTTTTCACCAACTGCAGGTTCCAGATCCAGTATCTGGTTCTTTGTGTTGTTTCCTAAGCTGATCCCAGCAGCTATCGGCAGCCTGTCAAACTCAGATTCATTCAGCTCTGCATCCACCAGCCTGTGGTCTACCTGCTTCCCGTTTATCAGCCCCTTCAACTGCACAAGAGAAGTCTCGAGCTCACATCTGACTGAGGAACGAGAACTGGGCAGGACTTACTGTGAAGCCATTTCTTGATATAAATCTCTTTCTATGTACACACACATACAACTGTCACTGGTTTTGTTTCTCTAGAAAACCCAACTTAACACAGGTCTGAATTTGAACTCAGCCCCATGGCTCAAATTTTGGCAAAGTGGTGGGCTGGTCGACAGGGGGAGCTTGTGAAGTACACCTTAGAATAATCAGCCACTTGGGATCAGGAAGGCATGCTTCAGAAGGTTTAGGGGGAAAAGAAGGAATAGAAACAGGACGCAGAGGGAGGAAGTGAAGTAAAGTGATAAAACATTGAATGAACTGAGACAGAATGTGTATGAATCATTGTGACACTGATGATCTGCTCTGTAATTCTGTGATGATCTTCATCCAATTCACAAAAAGTAAAAAACAAAACAAAAAAAAATTATTCACTTTGGATGCCATGGGAAATATATTTTCTAGTAAAATGTTCAATAATAAAAATTTTCACGAAGGTAATGCTTTATTAACTTCTAAGCCGTACAATGGTAAATAGGCTTAAAGAACTCAGCATAAAGACATGTATTAACTTTCTAAATTCAGATAATTCTGAAGACAAGTTGGAATTGAAAGTGAAAATATTCCATTTGGGAGCATATTGTTGGTTAATAGTTGAGCTCTGATGGTCAGTCTACAAATATGTACTAGTTCACACGGATCTTTGTATCTTGTTGAAGGAATGTAATCCAACCAATTAGAAATGATTGGACGTCTTCCTAAATTCAGCTGTGTCTGAAGAAAAGATAAATATTTTTTATAATATTAATCACCGAGTCAGAATTAACATTTATATTTCACTTAAATACAGAAAATAGATCTTAAATTTGTTTAACCTTTTTAACTTTTCCACTAGGTATTATATCTATCATACAGTGATACATAAAGTTTAAATAATAAAAATACATAAAGGACACAAAGCAAATATTTCTTATAACTATAATCTGGGTACATTTAAAATTTTCCATGGTTTATGCAGTTAGGTTTTATCACATTGTCTTTAGTAGTTATCAACTATGCCTTTATTTTAGTGCTATCTATTGGACTTTAAAAATAGCAATGTCAGGAATCCAGGACAGATGAACCCCTCAGGACCAATGGTGAGAGTGGTG